AGGGCATGGGGAAACACGACGCAGCCTGCCATGAAAGCGTGTTGGGAAGTGGCCAGGTGGGGAACAATTAAGCAAAAGATTGTAGAGAAAAGCTTACAACCCTCTCTTGCAATTTAGTACATGAGGAATGGCAGTAAAAAGGGGAAAAAATACATGGTTTTGACAGAACAGTTCAGAACTTCAGATACCTCAGCATACATTCAGAAGATAAGCTTTCCTGCTCAACCAGTACATCATACTAATACTATCATATCTTGATCAGCTCCACCATGTCCACCACCAATGCTTGTTTCTGCAATTATAAGAAGTCAAACAACCAATAACATTCTAATGGAAAGCTAAATAGATACAACATTAGGAATATATTTATATAACTAACGACTGTAATCTGGAAAAAAAAACTCAGTTCTGATACAGCATTAGGAAGATAAACAAAACCAAACAGCCATCAAATTTAGAGAATATTCACATGTAGTTGTTTTCACCATGACAAAAACCTGCACCACAGCACTACCAATATACAATTCTTGAATATGTCAAAAGGCAAACAATGAAATTTAGTTCAACTGTTACATAACCAGTAACAGATGTGAATCCAGATTATAACCATCAAATAAAGCTACCACGCAAGCATCACAACAGAAGCACTGCAGAACTAATTCGCTATATGTTGCAGAGGTCATCAGGCAGCAAAAGAAACAAGTAATGTGACACTACTTAAAATGGTTATCTTAACACAAAAGGATGTGAACGGCATATTCCATCAACTAATTATCGAAAATCAACATGGATTTGTTATAACCAGAGTTTGAAGACATGGATTTACCTGCAGCATAGACACTTTCTAATGGATAGCAGATAGCACAGTTGTTTTTTTCAGGAAGTTTACTGAACTGCAATGACTCAAGCTGGACCATGAAGACACCGGAAACTGTCCGCAAGAAAGCCACATTATTTTCCTCAGCATACGCTATCCTCTGTATGCGCTTTATCTCCTCTAAATTCAGGGAAAGTAGCTTGTCCAATTTAATAGTTCTTCCCCACACCCATGAAGAAACACCATCACAACCAGCATTCATCTTCCAGAACTGGGCGGTGAAGCCTTCCTTCCAGAGTAAACCCAGCCCGCCACCCTCTGCTCGTGCAAGTGTCATATAGTCCCTATGATGACCATAGGCAAGCATAGACAGTGGCACCTGTATCAAAGCTAGGCTCTGCCTGTTCAAATCAACCTCAAGAATTACAGTTATACCACCGTCAGAGAGCAGCAAGTAAAGGGAATCCCCGACCAACACAGCAGGCATGCCTTGACAACCCACGGCCGTGCGTTGGACCGATGTTGGCATGAGATCACTCCATACACCAGTCTCCGAGGAGTAAATGCAGGCGATCACTTGCTTCTGTTGGTAGCTTACCAATACCACCTGGAAGTGGTGGGCGTCTCCAGCAGCCCGGAGCACCGCCCCGTCCACCTGAGCTGCGTAGATGTCGAACGGCGGTGGCGCGACAAGCCTGTGCTGGTCGCGGGTGACGGGGTCCCACACCAGGAACCGGTTTCCCGATGAGCGGGCGAAGAGCAGGAGTCCATGGCGGCAGCTGAGGATTCTGGCGCGGCTGTCGTAGAGAAGCAAAGAGAAGCGCCCGGCGGGGACACGATCGGGGGCCTCCATGGCAGGCGTGTAGGAGATGCCTGCATAGTCGCTGCGGAAGAAACCGAGGAGCGGAGGGCTGCGGCGGTGGTGTTGGCGGTAGCGGCGGAGGAAGCCGCGGTCGAAGACGAGGCGGCGCCAGCGCTTGCAGACGGCGGAGGCGCGGGGGAGGGAGGACGGCTGCGGCGGGAGGCGGAGGAAGATCTCGGAGAGCAGATCCTCGTCTTCCAGAGGCGGGCGGGAGCGGGGGCGGCGGTGGAGGGCGGCCGCCATGGAGGGGGAGCTCATGGGGGAGGCGGCGGCGGCGGCGGAGGAGTCTAGCTAGGATGGGGTGTGCAGCCGCAATGGGGAAAGTGAAAGTGCAGATGCGCGACTGAAGCCCAAAACTAAGGAGTGCGGCGAATCTGCAACCGGGCTCAGCTGCACCCTCGCTCACCGATGAAATCAAACGAATACAAAAAAAATTCCAAAAATTCCAAATTTTTTTATATGATAGATAATTAGATGCGTGAGGTTCGCTGCAAAAATCAACTCGTTTGGACATTTAAGCAAGTCTGTGCAAAAAAGACAAAACTGGGGTCTCTAAAAATGTTTACTGTTTATGAACTGTTTTGACCCGATTTGTCTTTTTTTCCGAGACCTACACAAATGTCCAAACGAGTTGATTTTTGCAGCGAACCTCACGCATCTAATTATCTACCACACACAAAAAAATTGGAATTTTTTGAATTTTTCTAATATTTGTTTTGAATTTTTTGCTGACCTGGAGCAGCTGAGCCCGGGCTTCAGGATGAATTATCGAAAACTATCCTTCTAGACCAACAAAAAAATGAAGCTGCAGTGCGATTGAAGTTTTTACTTACGAAGAATTACTGTTTTTAGAAAAACAAAAATCAGTTCTGTTTCATTCTAAACTATTTTCATTGTGATTACTATCCCAGAGCCAAAACATCACGCCCATTGTTATATTTGTACACTTTAGGAGTGAGGCTGTTTTGGCTCCTAGGATCATCTGCATCTGCGTTCAATAAAAAAATCAAAACAAATAGTAAAAACATTCAATAAATTCCAAAAAAAATTGGCATGGTAGATAATTTGGTGTGTGATGTCCGCTCCAAATTTCAAAT